AAAGTGTTATATTAACCTTGTCTCTTTGCCCTTTTGCAGTATGTAGGAATGAGTGAGTGGCTTTCGGATGCTCTGTATGTCAAACTCAGCCCTGGCACAAGAAATTCCAGTCATGTGAAGCAAACTGCCCTTTGTCCTCAAAGAAATTGTTTAAAAAGAAAACTTTTGTAAAAGATTTGTTTTCATATTACCTGCCTTGTTGTTATCAACTTGAAATGTTGGCATTTTCTAACTGTGTTTTGTTGGCTACAGTAATTCAGTATTCCTGTCAAAATTGAAAAGTGCCCTAACTGAATGTGTTTGAATGTTATCCTTGCACAATTCTTTAAATTTAAAGACAAAATGTTTTACCTCACTGTTGGACATACATTCCAAGCTTTCAACTTTAGGAGAAAAAAAAAAATCATATGTTTTCCTGTATTGTAAATTTTAGACTATTTCATATACATTGTATTAAAACTGCCATATCAATTTTAATGTATAGATTTTGCAAATACTATGCTATATGTAATACCTAACTATATCTGTAGTGTATATGTAATATATTTATGCCCAATAAATGTTTTAATTCTTTCTGACTTAAGTAGGGTTCTTCCACCGTGAAAAGGATTGCTTTTGTTGTTGTTGTTACTTTTAAAAAACTTAAACCACATCCCAGAAATTGCAAATTCACGTACTTTCAGAGGCCAAGCACCTGCCACAGTACATGATGGTTGCTGTACCATCTACAAGGGCAGCTGCAACCCAGCTCCTGCTGCTTGAGGTCCTGCAATCACTTTCAAAAAAAGAAAAATTGAAATTTCCCTATAAGGACCACCAAAATGTGATTGTAGACCATACAGGGCCCTAGGCTGCCAGTTTGTTTGGGGGTTTTGGGTCAGTCTATGTGGATAAGGTATGTCTGTGCCTAATATTTTATCTGTATGTCCACACTGAGAAGCCAGCTCTAGGTCTGGTCACCCAGCCCCTGGCTGCTCCTTTCCGGCCAAACTCCTTCCCTCCTTCCAGTCTCATTCAACAACAACAACAGCAATAAAGCGTAGTGACTTCACCCTGACCATGATTTCATTGTTATGTTTGGATTGTTTGGCTCAGAATCACTGCTGTCTTCACTTTTTTTTTCATTTCTGGGCGGAGGGGTGGGTAGGTTGGGAAATTGACTTTGTAACTCGGAGTTCACTTTTTTATATGAAGAATTATAGCCATTCTTATATGTAAGAATGACAAATTGAAGATACCAAATTTTACATGCTCTTGAAATTTTACATGCCACTCAAAATATCATAAATAATTTTTTTAAGTCACAATTCCCCTCAACTCTGGGAAGAACGGGGGAGAAGTTTGGAAACCTAACCAGAGAAAGCCAAAATCTAATTTATTAGGAGGAAATGAACACCAATGTAATTTATATGCAGAATGCCCTGAAGGCTCCAAATGGACAAAGTATGTCCAGAAGTGATGGCTAAAGGGGAGAGGAGCCTAAAATTATGTCAGTTTAAAATGCCATTCGATCCATAAAATCCCTCCCCATTTTTTTTAACTGGATAACTGCTCCTTTACCCCTGCAGAAGTGACCTACATGGTTATCCTTCGGAGGTAAAATAGAAAATCGCTGTACTGGGATGCTATCCACAGTTGAATGTTCAAATACCATATCAAAAATGGAATTAAGTGAAGAGAGATCCAGGAGAGAATATTAGACATAGCCTCTCCTGAAGTGCCTCCTGGGCCAAAAAGAAAGATCTAGTAAAGAACTGGTTCGGGCAGAACACCCAGATGGTACTGCTCAGCCTTGGCTGCACAGTAATACCACCTCGGGAGCTTTCCAAAATTGCTATACCTGGATCATATCCTCCAACATTAAAAGGAGTGTTTCTGGAGCATCAGTGGTTTATTTTTTTAATTGAATTCATTGGGGTGAGACTGGTTAACAAAAGTATACAGGTTTCAGGTGTACAATTCTACATCACAAAATCTGGACACAGTATTGTGTGTTCACCACCCCAACATCGGTGTTTTTTGAAGTCCCCCGAGTGATTCCATTGTACAGCCCAAAATTGAGAACCACGACCCAAGCATCCATCAGCTCTTTAATCCTCCCGCTTCACCCAGGGCAACCTGACATCGGATGAAAGCTGCTCACACGGATGACAAGCCCAAAGCCCAACACTTGAGAGAAGCAGAGGCTAAGAGAGAAGACGCTTCATAAAACTTCCGTATCTCCAGAGAGGTGAGGGAAGAGAAGTCTTCGGTAGGCTAAGACAGAACACTATGACAAGGAAACACTTGAAAAATACTGAAACGTTCTTGGACATTACAAAACCAGTAGAAGGGTTGGAAGCCGAAGTTAAGAGCATAGCCAACAGAGCAAAGCTAAAAAGATAAGATAGATGATGAGGTTCAGACCAGGACATTCAGTATCCAAATAAGATCTCCAGAGGGTACAATATGTAGGGCACAAGGGTGCTCAACACAATGAATGAAAATACAACCTCTACTGAGGCACAACATCTAGAAACTTCACAACACTGGTACCAGAAGCTCCCAAGAGCAGAGAAAAGCTGCTCAGATGGGAAAATTAGAAATCAGAGTAGCTTTCTACTTGTTAGTAACAACACTGGAAGCTAGAAATCAGTGAGGCAAGTACATCAAGGTTTTGAAAGAAAAAGAATTCCCAACTGCTTGCTGCCTGTTGAGTGCAAAGTATCACGAAGATGTGTTTAGAAATGCAGGATCTCCCCAATTCGCTTCCCATGCACCTCATTGAGGAAGCCACCAGAGGCCATGCTGGCCCATGCGAGTGAGTAAACCAGTAAAAGCTGCCATGGGACTCTGCCTTCAGTGCTTTTTGTGCCCGTCAGAAGTTGGCTCTCTGTCCCTGAAGGATTTGTACACCTTTCCCTTTATCCCTTCCCTACCCCTAGTCACCGTGTGTTCATAAACACACACACACAATTACTCCTCCAAACAGATGACTGCAACATGATCCTTTCAAACACCTCACAAGATGTCTTGCCTTGGGGTAATTAAAAGTAACAAATCTGTATGGTACCCTTTATTTAGGTGGTGATTAAAAAAAGTTTCCATCTCCAGTACTGGACTCTTAACTACCTCAAAAGCCAGAGGAGATGGGGCGGGGGGTTGGGGGGAATGTATGCCCAGGCAGCAAGTCTCATTCCACTTGGCAGCCAGCATATAGCACATCATCGGGGACATGGTAAATAAAAGCTAAGGAAAAGTTTGTTGCGTTGAACTCAGTTGACTCATTGGGTTAGAAAAGTTCGCATAGCAGTGATGCGATTACTCCATAAAACTTGCAGCTCCAAACCATGGTATTTTGTCATGGTGTTACTTTTGGTGTTTTGATTTTTTTTTAAGTAATCATTAATTTAAAATGTGGAAATTTCACACAAAATCCTGGGGTCCCATGACAAAGAAGCATGAAGGAGACTGTCAAACTTCAGGGGCATGGCAGGAAAGAGTTGGGGGGTGTGGAGGGGGGAAGAAGAGATCACCCAAAGGACTTCTATGCATGCATATATACGCATAACCAATGGACACAGACACTAGGGGAATGAGAGCTTGAGCTGGGGAAGGTGGGGGAGGCTAGAAGGGGCTTGGGGGCAAAAGGAGATATATGTACTACTATTTGTAATACTTTAAACAATAACAATAATAATAAGTCCTGGGATCCCAGCTTCTACTGAGATTGGAAAGATCCAAAAACTAGGTCTTGTTCTGGAATGGTGGTCTTCAATGGGTGTGAATAGCAGCTGTCCTTGTTGGGGCATTTGCTCCGCCAACATTTCCCACCAAATTCTTTCATGGATGTGGATGATATACTTTCTAACAAGAACATCTCCTTGTACTCATTTCCATCCAAAGTGAGCAAACAGAGGACAGAAATGATGGAATGAGGACTTCTGTTAATCTGATTTTTTTGCCAATAATACCGGCAAAAAGTTAGAGAAACTTCTTCAGAACTCTAGAAGTTAACCAAGGGTTTGCACCAATTGAACCCTGATAAGAACAGAAGGTTTTGCAGTATTTGAGCTCAATCTGCCCCTCTCCCCAGTTCCCTAGTAGCCCTGCAGCCCTGTACTCAGTGGAGGGAGCATACTGGGTTCTGAGCACCTCAGGCTGCCTCATCCCCAGAGCATCACCACGGTTTAACCTGTCAAACTCACTGGCAAATCCCCATTGGCAGGACATTGTTATTTAACCTGCCACAGAGCCTTATACTCAGAGCTTTTGTTGCAAAATAATCAGTGCAGGTGTTTAACCCCACTCCTACAGGAGGCTGTGGTATACCAGTTGGTGCAAATGAGAGCCTGGCTACAAACATCAAGATGTGGGAAATGAGATATCTATAGGGAACTTATAAAAGTTAATAACATAGTTCTCAGGATCTAGAAGGCCACATAGATATGCCGGGCAATGCACATGCTCAGGAAAGTCCTGTGTCTCGCTTCTGACTGATCTTAAGGTCTTGTGAAGCAGGGGATATTGTAAACTCCCTGTGCATTGAAGGTGTGCTCCAGCACATAGCCCCTTGGCAAAGAGTGGGGGACATGTAGGTTCATGCATCTAAGGAACTCTCTGACACAGTCATTAAGTGACCGTTAAACAGAACAGAGACTCCAGTGGCCACAAGCAAAGAAAGAAGTCAGGAAGGATGCAATAACTTAGATTTATCCTAATAGGTAGTGGGAGGTGACAATCAAAGAGGATTTTAGACTTAACTGTAATATTTTACTCTTTTAGATGAAAAAATGCATTTATGTATTGTGTGATTAAAAATTAGTTTTATGGTAAGCAAAACCATATCCTTTATAATAAAGAGCTAATATGCTAATTAGACTGAACAGCAGAACAGCCATCCAGATGACCTTCCGGATGAAGCTGGGGCTTCGAGGGCCGAGCCCCTTGCACAAATTTTGTGCACTGGGCCTCTAGTCACAGAAATAAGATTTAATACCCATTTCTGAGCCACAGGATAGATAAATAAGAGATGCTTCTTATTTATTCCCCTAAAGACACAGACCTTCTATTTTCTATACAAACACGTCATCAAAGAAATGTGTTCGATTCAGATAAAATTTTTTGCAAATAGGAGCCATGAGATGTTTATTATTTTTCCACAGTAGTATTCCCCAAAGTGAGGAGGTATACAAGATAACTGGAAGTGGTTAAAGTCAAGATCTTTTAAATTAGGTTGTTTTTGTCATCTGTGCTAGGGAAAATTGGAACTGGCATATCAAACAAAGACAGATAAGATAAAAGTGGATATTTAAGTTTACATCAGAAATAGAACTAGTAAAGAATAGGATGCCACTCAGATATGGCAGATAGGACTGATAAGCAAATAGACTGAAGTTTGAGAGCAATGCACCATGCTATGCTGCCTACTAAGATACAAATCAACCTATGCAATGCAACATGCAACACATTTTAGATTAGCAACTGCAAATACAGTCTGTTTTTTCTTCATGTGAAAAGAGGTTTGTTTTAGAGGAAGAGGAATGGGAATAAAACTCAAGATCCACACAGAACTGGAATTGAACTGCAGTAGCAAGTTTGTATAGCTGATCCCCACCAGCCTCCATAACCTGCTTATACCTTCCTGTCTTACTGTGCAGATTTTCTCGCTAGGTACTTAGCAATATTCACTGGAGTGAGAATTGGCTTTGCTAAAGTTACGGTGCTTTTGCAGGATTTCTGAAGGTGATATAACGTTATTGTTGCAGAACTTGAGATAAGACAAATGTTCGTCTTGCCCTAGGCGTGGAGGGAGAATATGAAAGAATAATGAACCTCAGTGAGCTGCGGGACAACCTCTCCCACCTCCAACTCCACCCACTGGGCTCTTCTCAAGTTGCTGTGTTCCTTCAGGGCCACTTGCCAGGATTTAAATACGTTGCTTTAGGGAAGATTGTATAACAATTTGGGATCAAGCCTCAAGTTAGTCTTGCTCTAAAGTCTGGAAAATTTGGGGCAGCTGGTATTTTCAGTGTCGAGAAAGCCAGTGGTCAGTGAGAGAAAACAATGAAGCTGGTAGAAAAAGAAGCGATAAGGGGGCAAAGATACTATAGAAGGTCCCCAGTTGAGGCCCAGCTTATCTTCTGTCTGTAGGTTCTCTGAGACCCCTCCCTGGTTTCCTTATGCCTCTTTGTGCTTAAACTAGTCACTTGGGTTTCTGACATCAGTGACCAACAGGTTCCCAAGTGGGACCAAAAGTACTCAAGACCTATTTTATGTTGCAAAGGGGACTTAATCAAAGTAGGAGGTACACTGTGCAGAATGCACAATTTCAAAGGTTTTTGTGATGTGAATTTATTCAGATTTGGCCTGCTTCTTTGTTTTGTTTTTTACTTTCCAAGCATATACACTGAGCTTAGGAAAGCTCTAGTTTATTATTATTATTATTATTATTATTATTATTAAAATGGTGCTAAATTACTTATTAATGAGTCCTTGAAGTATATCAAACACTTGACATGCATTATATCATTTATGGCTCCTAACTACCCTTTGAGCTGAGTGTAGCTACCCCTTTGAAGTGGAGGGTGCTTAATTAACTTGGGCCAGGCATATAAGTAAGGAAGTATAAAATCCTGGCATTTAACAGAATTTGAAACCTTGAGCAAGTCATGTGGCCACTCCAGGCCTCAGCTCCCTCCTGTGAAAAATTAGTTGAACTGGACGTTCACAATGATGTAGACTTGTGGAGAGAGAGTTCAGACATCCCAACTACGGTCGTGCCAGGAAGCAAGTAAGAAACACCTGGGGTAAGAAAATGAGCTTCCCAAGGGATGAATTCTCCTTTAAAGTCCGGCCACCCCTCCCTCCCACTCTTCTCTCTATCCATAATACTCCTTAATGTGAGTCAGGTGTTAAAAAAAAAAAAAAAAAGGCAACAACAAAAGTTGTAAATATTCTCTGTGCCTCCTTCACTTGAAAGCCGAAGCCCTCCCAGCAATGCATTCATTAGCCTGACTCTCCAGTGCGTGCTGACAGGGAAAGACAGTGGTCACATGGGGCAAGATCTCAGCTCTGCCACTGTATTAGTCAGCTATTGCTGTGTAACGAGCCACGGCAGAACTCAGTGGCTTAAAACAATCAGGAGGCCTCCCGGAAGCCTTCACAAGAACAGGTTCTAAAATGACTGAGCAGGAGACAGATTACAGGGAGTGAAGAATGAACGGTGACGAGGACTTGGGAGGTCTACAGTGAAGGGAAGGGGAGAGAGTACAGTAGCGTGACAGGGAAGCAAGACCAAAGAAAGGCTGTGGTTGGCAGGGTGATTTTGATTTAGTAACGAACAGGCTCTGGCACTTGCTAGACTCAAGGTAAGGTGCTAATCTCGAGGGAGCAATCGAAGGTACGAGAGAAGTTATAATCAGTGCAGTGTCCACGGGAGATGGAAAGAATGAGAACTGAGGGCACCACTAAAGGACTTGAACTTAGAAGCCAGAAGAGAAGGGTCTTTATTTTGAAATGTAATGCGAGAAGAAAGTGCAGGTGGGGCTGAGGGTGGGAAAGGAACGCTTACATCACCTGTTATGATTGAGAGAATCATGAATTAAATAGAGTTGAGAGTTTAAAGTTGTCCAGAGCCTAGATCTTAAACTCTGTAGTGCTTTCTTCTTTTCAGTATTCCCACTTGTTTATTTTTGAATCATCTGTCCATCCTGAAAACACCTATCAGCAGGCAGTTAGCGTCCTAGGCATGCTTCATGCAGCAACTAAATGTCAAGCAGAAAAAAAACACGAGTCCACGCGCCCTGTGTTTCATTAGCACCGTCCGGTGAAGTCACAAATCCTGACCGAATTGAAATCTAAGCCACACCGCCACCATCATGGGGTCTGTGCTTGCAGCTGTTTTCCTCTTGGATTCTGAAGGGCTGAGTTGTTACTACGAGCTAAGAGGCAGTCAGCTCCTCCTCACCACATTTCCAAATCTACTGTTCGTCTCTTTTCTTCTTCCCCAACGTGTACCCTGTTTTCCGGTGCCTCCTAAAATAACAGCAGATTAGCAACCAGGCTGGTAGAATAGTGAGGTATCGTGAAACAGCAAACATACATCGCTTAATAATCATAAGCAGAGTTGGTTTTAGGGAACAGTAGTCACACACCATTGCAAGCTCACATTTCATTGCTTGGTGTGTGTCACTTCACCAGCTGAAGATCTGGGGACAGGAAATCACAAATAATGTGAATTCTGGAGGTGAGTTCTGGCTTATCTATTTTATTTGTGATAAAGTCAGACTGGTTTTGCTTCCATTTCTGGGAAGAAGCCCTTGGGCCCTAGATGCCAGGTTTTCTAGCTCGAGAATTTTAGGTTTTTGTGTAGAATAGGATGTTGGCAAAGAGTTGGGATCTGGAATTGGACTACAGAGGTTTGAATCCTACTCTGCCATCGCTTGGCTGTTATTTGGGCAAATTCCTTAAGGCAGATAAATGTTTATCTACCCCCATTCTTCTTCAATAAAATGGAAGTACCACAAGGGCACAAGCTTGGTGATTTCACCTCTGTAGCCCTAGAACATTGCCTGGGAAATAACGAGCACTTAGTAAATCTTTACTGAATAAGTAGACTTCTTCTGAATGTGTGAACACTGCTTGCTGCATGAATTGTTTTTTGTTCAGAGAATCACCCGCAGTGGCAGAGAATGACCCCTCAACTTTTTGTTTCCCACAGCACCTAACTCCGGATCTTGGACTGAGGTACGCATCAGCCGGTATACATTGGGCTGCTATTGACTGAGACACAGCGCCCCCTAATTGAAGCATCCTTCTGTTCCTTCCTGGTGGACAGCAGAGGGGTTTGCTGGGGATCGAGAGAAAATGATGACACGGCTGAAGGACATCAACCCTCTCTCTTTGCCTCTGGCTCTTTTCTCCTTGGATTTTCCTCCTGTGGGGTGGTATTAGACATATTTTTCTTTAGGAGCCTCCTTACCTCCCCAAGTCAATAAAACTGTTTCCTAGGTGATGAGACTCTTTCATAGCAACCAGGCACTAACTTCAGATTCTAATCCTGATTCCTCTGTAGGCAGCCTGTGTAACCCTCAGCAAGTCACGTCACCTGTAAAAGCAGGGCCAGCTGCACTCGCATTGTAAGGAGGACTCATTGAGGGAGAGACAAGAGGGGAAGTGTGAAGGAACTTTTATTGATTTTATTTTACAGAGAGGAAGGGAGAGGGATAAAGAGTTAGAAACATCGATCAGCTGCCTCCTGCACACCCCCTGCACACCCTCCTGCAACCAAGGTACATGACCTTGACTGGAATCAAACCTGGGACCTTTCAGTCTGCAGGCCGATGCTCTATTCATTGAGCCAGACTGGTTAGGGCGAGACTCATTTCTTTATGAGATTTAGACTATAAGACCCTTGATGTGCCATTAAAATCAGTCTATCTTTTGTAAGAGTGTGGCACACACGCCTCTCAGAGAAACACAGCTATCACTATTACACAATGTAAAACTCGTGGTTCCTTTAGTATATGGTCCCTCGATCATTCCACAAATATATATATATTGAATATATATATATATATATATATATATATATATATATATATATCACTTGTTTAAAGTTCAGATAAAAGGTTAGGGAGGAAAACCAACTATGTGGGTTTAGATTCTACTGGTGGAGCCAGACATATAAAAAGATCATGATCTCTGTGTGGGAAATGCAATGAGAGGGGAATGATCAGGATATTTGTACTGTAAGAGCCTAGAGAAAGGACCCCTCGCTGGAGCTGGGGAGGTGGTCCATGCAAGAGTGGGGCCCCTTTCTCCAGAAAGCATCAGTGAGTCAGGTGCCTGCTCTGGAATCTCCCAGAGGTGGTGACCATTGGGAGGTTGCACTGGAGGTATTTTATCTCTGGTGTTTGGAGGGGATGGAGCCAAAAGGTGAAGCAGGAATTCATGGACACAGAGATGGTTTCTATCACTATAGGGTGGATGATGCTGTCGTGGCTCTTGGTCTGTTCCAGAAAGGCTAGGAAACACAGGAGACTGACCTCCTTGTCCTTAGCACACATGAAAAGAGACCAAGGAAGAAAACAGTGGCTCTGCTGAGATATGCTGGGCACCCGCTGAGTTCTCACAATACAAAGAGTCTAAGAGCACAAATCGCCTTGTAAGCATTGAGTCTGGATTTGCACCAACTCAACCACTTATCAGGTGCTTGAGGCCAATTATTTAACATCTTTGAGCTCCAGTTTCTTCCACTATGCCTCTCTTGGTTTTACACTCCACTCCTAAGACTGACAATGCCAAGTTAGCAAAGACTCTTGTACGTTGTTCATGAGGATATAAAATATTGCAACAACTTCAGAAAATAGCTTGGCCATTACATGAAAAGATAAGCATACATCTACCATACAACCCAGTCATTCACTCCTAGATATTTACCCAAGAGAAATGAAAATGTATGTCCATACAAGGACTTGTAAATGAATTCTCACAACAGCTTTATTTGAAATAACACCAAACTGCAAATAACCCAAAATCCATAAACAGATGAATGGATAAATAGGTTGAACTATATACATCCAATGAAACACTACACAGCGATAAAAAAGAACCACATATACAACAAAGCAGATGAATCTCAAATATACTGACTGAAATGAGGCAGAACAAAAGGTAAAGACTGTATGACTTTATCTATAGAAAATTCAAATTTTTATAAATCCTATGTATAGAATATTCTGGAAAATTCAAAGAATTCAATAGTGACAAAAAGTAGATCAATGATCACCTAGGGCTGGCTTGGCATGGGAGAAAAGGTGGAAGAAGCGGGTAACAAAGAGCCATGATGAAAGTTTTGGGAATAGTACTTATGTTCACTGTCTTTGTGATGAGGTTTTATGGGCATAAGCCTATGTCAATACTTATCAAACTTGAAATATATGCACTTTATTGTGTACCATTCCTCAATAACTCTGATTAAAAAACAAATTCATGCAGGATGCTCAGGTAAGAGATCTCAGCTACTGATGATGTTTGTGATCTATCTGGAGATTAGTGGTCCTCAATCCTGACTGCATATTAGAATCACTAAGGAGTGTTAAACATATTTACTAGTATACTGGGCGCAGCTGGTATGGCTCAGTGATTGAGCATTGACCCATGAACCAAGAAGTTACTGGTTCAATTTCCGGTCAGGGCACATGCCCTGCTTGAGGGCTCGACCCCCAGTTGGGAGTATCTAGGAGGCAGCCAATTAATGTTTCTATCACTCCATTTCTCTCTCTCTCAAAAAAAAATTATGCATGGCCACTTTCTATAAAGGAAGCTTTTATTTAACTGGTTTGGTATGTGATCTTGGCATCAATGTTCATTACAATCTCCCAGGTTATTCAAATGTGAACCCGGGGTTGAGATTCATGACAGCAGGTTAAGATATTGTATATACTGTTGTCAGTGAGCACATTTGGGGAGGACAAAGATGGACAACACCCTGATCCAGGGGAAGAAGCCCAGAGAACCACTTAAATGGGGAGAGAGCGGGCTTGAGTATAGAACAGGTGAAGCTGTCCAAGAAGCAATGGAGAAGGTAGAGAGAAAGAAGGAAAGTAGAGTGTGGTGCCACATGTGTGCGAGGCTGATCTTGGCTCTGGGGATGGGAAGACAATAAAAATGGAAAGGAATTTTTATTGGTAGAATTCTGATGATAGAACAAATATTGTAATTGGCCCAGGCAGGCAATGCTGTTGTAGTTTGGGGTATCTTTCTAACACTTTAGCCATCTAGGAACTTCTAGATACTTGCTGCTCCCAAAGTGACCCATGGCCTGACAGACTTGGCAGCACCTGGGGGCTTGTTAGAAATGCAGCATCTTTGGCCTGACCCCGGGCCCGCTGGACAAGAGTTTGCATTTTAACAAGGTCCCCGATCCATTCAGATGCACATTAAAGTTCAATAAGCACTGTCTAGATTTTAATAGAAAGACAGCAACATATTCATTAATGGAGATACATTTTCTCCTTTTAATAAGAGGATGTGCTACAGCAGAAGAAACCCTGGACTAAGAATCAGAGCTTGATTCTCTTGTCTCAGATCCTCCACAACCAGCTCTGTGGTCTTTCACATTCTCCTTAGTATTTGTCCAGCCTGAAGTGGCCTTTCATCCATTCATAGAGGGGCACATGACTTGAACCTTCAATTCCTTCAGGTCTGTGACTTGAAGAGAAATAAATCAGAGTAAGGAGGAAAGGTATTATTCTGTGTAGGCTGCTCAGAGAAGATTTTCTGATATTTGAGCAGATGGCTGAAGCAGCTGAGTGTTCCAGTCATGAATATCTGTTAATGAATGTAAATGAATATCTGTTAATGAATAAAAGGGAACTTCAGGCTGGAAAACTAAAGGGAGTGAGAAAATAACATAAAGGTCATTCAAAGGGTGGAGTTATAGTCAAAACATTTAATAGAATACTATGCAAACATTAAGAAAGGTGATATCTATTAGTACTCTATAGCAGGGGAAAATTTCCTTAACAATTTCTTAAGTTCAAAACAAGCAAGGGTATAATTTCTTTTATCTATATAAAAGTGATATAAAAGTGCTTGCCTGCATGGGGGTGGGGGAGTGCAATGTATATAGAGAGAAATGTCTAGAAAATTAGTCTTAAAATGTTCATAGTAGTATTTTTTCACATGGTTCAATTTGCGGTGAATTTTACTTTTTTTTTTCAGACATACACAAAAATAAAGATGATCAAATGGCATTTATTACCTGTCTCACCATAATGTAAATTCTATGAAAGTAGAAACTTTGCTTTGTTCATTACTTTATCCCTATCATCTGGGTACATACTGGGTGTTTAATAAATATTTGTTGAATGAAAGAATAAACAACAACAAAAAGAGAGAGAAAATTCAGGGCCTATACAGGGACCAAATAATAGTTTATGAGCATGCAGGGGAGCAATGAAGATGGTGTAGACATCTGAGCAGAGACTTGAATCACAGCATCAAACTTTGACTTTATTTTTCAGGAAATGAGTAGCACCTGCTTACTGAGATAAAGTGGTGGTGGATGGATACTGTGTGATTTATCAACCATAACCTGAAGAATGTCTTTCTCCATTTCTTGCTGGAAGGAAGGAAGGGAGGGAGGGAGGGAGAGAGGGAGGGAAGGAGGGAGGGAGGGAGGGAGGGAGGGAGGGAGGAAGGAAGGAAGGAAGGAAGGAAGGAAGGAAGGAAGGAAGGAAGGAAGGGAGGGAGTAAGGAAGAAAGGAATGGGAAGGAGGGAGGAAGGACAGAAAGGAGAAAGGAATAAAAGAAAGAAAAAAGTAAAAGAAATAGTCTCCATGAATAAACAAAATACTCAGATGTCTCTTTGGGACTGCTAATTGATGGAGAATTTGGAGCCAGCTAAGGCTCCAGGGCTTGACAGTCACTTGCTGGTTGACAGAGGCCGTGAAAACGTTTTCATTTCCCTGTTCCAATCTGCAAGCCACCATCTGCTGTGCTGATTTCCAGGGAGGCTGCCATGGGGGAAAGGAATATCAATGGTCCAAGAAGCCAGAAACTCACTCATGTCTACACGAGATAGACTCCCAGCCAAGAGGAATCTTCCTTTTGACAGTCTGTCTTCAGGACTTGGTACTTTTTATACCAAGCCTTATGTAGTCAAGGCCTTATGTGGGCAAGCACAGGTCACTGAGTTGAGTCCATTGACCAACCCTTTGACCTCAACGTGTGTGAAAAAAATACTGAGCGCTGTCTCGGAAAGAAGTTCTCTGAGAGGTGCTTAATGATTGCTGAAGATAACTTTCCTGATATTCACTCCATCTCCTTCGCTCCAACTCCACCAGCAGACGAGCGGTTTTCTTTAAATGCAAGTGCTACCCCATTGCCCTTCCACTGCAAACCCGTTACTGGCTCTCTCTTGCCCTCAAGATAGTGTTCAAAGTCCCTGGCTTGGCTTTTGAGGTCCTGCCTGTCTCCCAGGCATATCCACCTTGGGCCACTCTTT